AAATAACTTACAGTAGTAAAGCAACCCTGGGCACAATTCCCACAAAAAACAAACAACTGTTGCTCTGAACACTTATGCACATGTCTCCTGAAGAATAAGGACAAGTTTCTCAGGTACATGCCCAAGCAGTGAAGGCACTTAACCCCACATCTCAGAGTGGGGACACATACTGTGGCCACTTGCATTTTTCCAAAGAAGATGCAACTTCTCTCCTATGATAGGCTCCTCTTAAACTCTACCTCTGACACTCCCCATCAGTAGTGGCATCTACACCCCCTTCCAGCTCTTGAAACTGGACAAGGTTGTCACTGAAGAAGTGATGTTATGGGACTTCTGAGGCTAAGCCATGACAAAGATGCAGATCTCACCTGGTTCTTTTGGGGAGATTGCTTTTGGAAACTCACCACCATTCCAAAGGAAGCCTCATGTCCTAAGATGCAAAGCAAACTCTTAGCTAAAAGCATGAATGAATTTTGGGGTTTGTCAAATTTTTTTATGCATGTATTGAGATAATTATATGATTTTTGTCCTTGCTTTTGTTTATACAATACTTTATGTTGTTTGAGTTTGCATGTGTTGAGTCTCCTTGCATCCCTGGGAGGAAGCCTCCTTCACATGATGAGCAGTCTCTTTAATGTTTTGTTGCATTCTGCTTGCCAGTATGTTACTGGGATCTTTGCATCTATTTTATTTATAGAAATTAATTAGCAATTTTCTTCTTTAGTTGAGTCTTTATCTGCTTTTGAATTGAGGAAATGCTAACTTCCAGCAATTGCTTCTTAGTTTTCAAGTTCATTAAAGAGTTTGAGGAGTATTCATGCTAGGTGTTTCCTGAAGTTCTTATGAATTCACTTGTGAAGCAATAAGGTCCTAGGCTTTTCTTAGTTGGTACATTTTTGTTACTGCCTTAATTTTAATGCCAGTTGTTATACTCTTCAGCTTTCTTATCTTCTTGGTTCAGTTTTAGTAATTAATAAGTATCTACAAATGTATCTATTCCTTCTAGATCCAAATTTTTTGAGTACAGATTTTTGAAGTAGTTACTAATAATCTTCTAGAGTTCCATGATGTCACATTTTTCATGCTTTAAAGAGAATAAAACTAAGCACAATAAAACAGAATAAAGTGAATCAAAGCAAACCAGTGTAAGTGACATAGGCTTCAAAAGAATACAAAATCAACAATGGTTACCATAATGCCTCTTGTGTCTTAAATACTGCCCATAACTTCAGACACAGTAAAAATCAAACAGAACAGAACCAATAAAAACAAAACAATGAAATCAATAAAGGACTTCTAAACAAGACAAGAGTAAATCCAAAATGGCTACCATAATATAGTGTGCTATCTTTGGAATAGCTGTCTGTGCCATCAGATATAACAAAATCAAACAAAATAAAATAAAACCCAATGCAACAAAACAATGAAAATGATACAGAACTTCAAAGCAAGATAATAGGGAATTAACAACAGCTACCACCCTCAGAAGGACAGACCCTATAGCTGCCACACTGTGTACTGTTATCCTCTAAAGAGATGATCAGACCACCAGTCCTAGACCTGCAAAGTCAGTGAAACACCAAATACTACCAGCATCCAATTGCATTTCATCTCAATAGCTATCAATCACAGCCTGTGTTTCCCTGGATTAGCCGGTAATTTGCAGGGGTGGGGGTTGGTGGGGAGGTTGGTTGTTATTGTTTCCCAACTCTACTGGAAGGGACTAGGGTCTGGCTGTCCCCCCAGTGGGAGTGGCCCGTGCATGGCACTGATTTGCAAGGAGCACTTGCTTCCTGGTGACTTCTTGTTCTCTTCCCCTACAGTCCAAGAATGGCACTGATTCACAGGAAAAGGCTGGGGTCTGACTGTCAGCCCAGAAGCCACTACCCATGCATGGCATTGGTTCACACTGAGGGTTTGCTTCTTGGTGACTTCTTGTTCTCTTCCCTGACAGTCTGTGAAAGGTCACCTTTTTCATTTCTAATTACACTGATTTGGGGTGTTTCTTTCCTTCTTTTGAATCAATTAGGCTAACAACTTGTCTCCCAACTCTTCAAATCATTGTTCCTTTGTAATTTTTTAGTTTCTATTTCTTTTATTTCTTCCCTGAGCTTCATAATTTCCTTCTATATGCTAGGTTTGCCTAGATTGTTCTTGTTTTTACTTGGGTCTTATGAATCACTAGGAGGTTTTTTGTGGGGTTTTTTGTTGTTGTTGTTGTTGTTGTTGTTGTTTGTTTTGTTTTGTTTTATTTTGTTTTACTTAGACCAGCTCTGTTTTTCTGATATGAGCAGCCACAGCTACAAATTTCCCTGTTGGTTCTGCTTTTCTTGTGTCCTATGGATTCTGGTACATTCTGCTGGCATTATTTTTTGATTCTAGGAGCTGCTTAATTTCTTCCTTGAGTGTTTCTGTGACTCACTGTTATTTAAATCTCCACATGTTTGCATAATTTCTGAGGTTCCTTTGCCACTGATATCTAATTTCATTGCATTATGATCTGATGATATGCATAGGGTATTTTCAATTCTTTTGTATATACCTTTAAGTCTCCTTTATAGGTTAGTATGTAGTCTATTTTGGAGAAAGCTATGTATTTTCTGAGAATAAGATGCATTATGCTGTTGTCATTGGGTGGAACCTACTGTAGACACTACTAAGTCCATTGTTGGGAGATAAGTTTCAACTCTGATATTTTTATGTGATCTTTTTGTCTAATTGATGTGTCTATTTGTCACAATAAGGTATTTCATGGTTTTGATGTTTATCTTATCTTCTATATCCAACAATGATGGTCTTATAGTTTTCATACCAATATTTGGTGTATACATATTTATAATTGCTATTACTTCATGTTGAATTGTTTCTTTAACCAACATATAGTGACATTCTTCACCTCTTCTAATCAGTTTGGTTTCAAGTTCAGGTGCTCATTGTGTTTAACAGCCCCCAGCAGGGGATGCCGAGGGCTCCCATGTGGGTGTCTGCTGATGGGTTATGAGCAGCACACAGGCTGTGCCATAGGGACATCATGCAAGTGTTGGGAGCAGGAATGGACACGTACTGATTTCTGGATCAACATGGTCTCTTCTCTACCAACAGTCTCACTTCTCACAAATGTTGATTGCATGCACAGGTCCCAAACCACTTTTCTTTATTTGTGTCTATATTCAGAATTGCACACTTGTTTTCAAATTCACCAATGGCCTGTCTTTAACTTCTTAAACAACACTGGTCAGTTTCAGTTTCTCTGGTGTCCTAGTTTGTGATTAACACACCGACATTGTTCCTCTTCCCATGGGGGAAGCGAGAAGAATTGGGAACCTAGTCCACTGCCCTGGCCACCACTGAAGTACCACCTGCCCCTAAAGGTACTGGATCCTCTCCCAAGATGGCTGATAGAGTAGACTCAGGGTTAAAGTGGTGCTGCTATCCTGGGGCAGTCCAGCTTCCCTTCCTAAATTCCCTGTATAATGGACTTTCACCCAGTGAGTTTCTCTTTCCTTCATCCTTCCTGTCTCTGGTTTTCTCTACCTGCTCTGCCTTAGTATATCTACTTTATTCTGGTGCATACATTAGAAGGGAGGCTTTCACCCTAGCTGTAGCCACCTACTCAGCCATGACAGATCTCCACTCATAAGTAAAATTTTTATGTTCCCAAATTCTTAAGAAGCATTTTAATTCCTCATTGCATTCTTTAATGTATAGTAGGTAACATTTTATTCCTATAAAGACAACTGTACATTCATGAGTAGTTCATACACAGAATAAAAATGAATCATACAGAGGAAGAAAAATACTAAACATTGATCATAACTGAAATCCATTCCCAATACCCAGTGATTACACTGAACTGCCATCATGATTCACTGACAATCATCTTGCTAAAACTTCTAAGTCAAGTCCTTCTGGATAGCAATGCCAGAGAATTTATCCTTTGCAACAGACTATATTAACATGAGTTTGTTTAAACACTTACAAATCCAACAAATGCTACCATTTAGTTGTGTGTGGTTGATGTTGCTTTTCTAAGAGCTATATTTTAAATGTTTACTACCTGTATTAAGTATGGTTTTATATGATGATGGTTTGATAGGGGCTTAAACCCTGAGTCTACTCTATCAGCCATCTTGGGAGAGGATCCACTACCTTGAGGGGCAAGTGTTATTTCAGTGTTGGCCAGGTCAGTGGACTAGGCTCTCAATTCTTATGCTTTCCCCCATGGGAAGAGGAATAGGTGCCTTGCTGGATCTGAAGAGACTTCGCATCCTAGGGTTAGCCAATTCCTAGAGACAAGTATCTTGTGTACAAACCAGCCAAGCCAAAGAACATATCCCAAAACCACATCTTTTACAGGTCTTATACTCTAAACCATTATTTACCTACTGCAGAGCCAGATAAGGAAGGCCCTGATTTTCCTATCAAAATTATTCAAACTAGCCTGTTCTAAACTTATTAACCTTACTTTCCCCATTCATTGCCAGAGAGGTCAAATAAAACTTATTCCACATCTCCTCATCCTCCTTTTTACCTCCTTGAGGACTGTGCTGTTTTTCCATATGACTCAATGACAAGATGCTCCTCTTGTTTTTAGAAAACTATTGATTTGAAACAACTTTTTGTGATAGCCATTTCTCACTATACCTGATAGAAATAAATTCCATGTTCATAGTAAAATAATGACTCAACTATGACCATCACCTTTTACTACACATTAACTATATAAACATATTTTTATCAGTATCAGTAGGCCTCTCTATTCCTGCTGTTTTTCATGTTGCTTTAAAGTAGTAAGAACAAAAGCAGCACACATTTTTTTACTAAACTTTAAATACAAGAAAGAAGGCAATAGAGAACATAGCTCAGTATAAACTTTGAATAAAAAAACTTGCTCTTTGACTATAGTTCAAGGAAGAACACTTTTGAATACAATTTCTCAGAATGGTCTTCAAATAGTCTAATAAGGATATTTTTAAAAGAAAAGTCTTTGATACACATACCTTGCATATTCCAATGTATTTATGTTTGGGATATATAGAACATTTCCAATATTAATTTCTTAGTATCTCCAAAATGATCTTCTATGCAGGAGTTCTTGACAGGTAGCAATTCTTAACTTGATACTGGTTTCATACACAAGAAACTTCATTCCAACTTGTATCTATTATGAACAAGAATCAGAGAAGCCACTTCAAGTGAAAGAAACTGATATACAACAGAAGACAAGGATGGAGGAGAAAAAAATGGCAGCTTGCTAGGGTGCTGGGTGCAGAGTTTCTGCAGAGATATCAGGTCAGATGCTAGAATATGACAACATGGAGAGGGCCAGATGAATGGATAATGATTCTTATTAACCAAGGCAGTAACCAAAAGGAAAAATAAAACTAGGAAGAGGAAGGAAAAGGGTGGGGGGGAAAGCTTGACCGGCGCAGCTCCAATGAAACAGGAGACAGGAGACGCTTTTGTGGATGACAGTTAACTGCTGGTTTATTTACGCGGGCTCTGGTTTATATATTTGGCCGTGACCAATCACAGGCTGCCACGAGGAAGCAGGGCGGGAATGGGACGCAGGCTCTGGTTACTATATCCAGCTGTGGCCAATCAGGAGTTGCCACAGAGTACGGAGTGAGCACGAAGTGCGCACGGGTTGGCTAATTTAAAGAGGGACGTAGCGCATTGCGGAAGCTGGCGTGGTCCTTAGTCCCGGGTGGGGTATGGTATGTTGAGCGCCTGCGCCCAACAAAGCTGAAGCCCAATGTGCTCACTGAGCTCCTTTCTATGCTGCACTAGGCATGCCCAGACATCCAAGTGAGCAGTAAGCAGTGGATCCAAGGGGAAAAGCTATATTGGCTCTCAGTGACTGCTGGAAATTGAGACCTGGGGCCTTGTAAAGCAGCCAAACCACCTGGCCACCCTGTAGGAGACTTCAAGAAGCTCCTGGTCTCTGAAGAGAGACACTGTGCAGTTTTGAGACCCATCTGTGCTGTGCTGGGAATGCAGTGAAGACACACAGTGCAGTGTGCAGTGGACCCAAGAAGATCTGCATTGATTCCCAGTGAGTACTAGGGCCTGGGTCCTGCAGCTGCTGTTGCTGGCTGGAGGACATTTTGGAATTGGGCAGAGCCCAATGTCATGGCAGCATCAGTGACAGAGAGAACTGGTGGAGGACATCTTGGAATTGGGCAGAGCCTGGTGCCACAGTGACATCAGATAGTCACCCCTGGAGCGGAGAGGTCTGGTGAAGGACAGCTTGGATTTGGACAGAGCCTTGTGCCACGGTGACATCAGTCAGCTGCCCCTGGTGCAGAGAGAACTGGTAGGGTTTGCTAGGGCTGAATTACGCCTCTGGTTGGGATCGCATAAGCAGATACAAAATTGTCATGACTCTGTGACATCCACAAGGTACAGCCTAACTTGCAGATTGACTGGCACAGAGGCTGGAGACTAGCCTGCACCATACCTGCATCCTTGCCTCTACCTCAGATAACAGCAAATTGGGGAAGACAGCAAAAACTCCAGTCAGCACACTTCAGAAAGACCCTAAGCAATATGGAGAGGGCCAGAGACCCACAGGACACACCATCTGAAAGAAACCAGAAACATGACAAGAGATAGAAATAAAAAAAAAAAAAAATCTCCGGCTGCTGAACCTGGGAAAATAAGCCCAGGAGAAGTAAATACAGAAGAGAACCAGCACAGTAACCATCCAATACTAGACACAGCATCAGCCAAAATAAATACCTTCATGACCTCATAGACGAATTTAAAACTGTACTTCTGATCCAAGTGAGGCAAGATATAAAGAGAAACTAAAAACTCCATTGAAAACTGGCAAAATGCCTTGACAGAAACTAAAGTTAGCCTTTAAGAACTTGAAGAGAGATTTATGATATATGATTGTGAAAGAAAAGACCTCTTAAAAATAATGAGGAACCAGAAAGAAACAATTCAAAGGCTAGAAGATGACAAAAAGGATACATAACTTAAGAATAAAGCACATGAGTGGGGAAGCAGGAGTAACCAAAAATGAACTACAAAGAATATTCACAGATATATTAAAGAAAAACTTCCCAAGCATAGGTAAAAGAAATGATATCCAGATAAATGAGGCATACAAAACTCCAGCCACCTACAACCAAAACAGATCTACACCCAGACATATAATAATCAAGATTCCAGAAATCCACCAAAAGAACAGAATACTAAAAGCAGCCAGGGAAAAGAAGCAGATTACCTACAATGGGAAAATTATCAAAATAACAACAGACTTATCAACACAAACTCTCAAAATTGAGAAGAGCCTGGGGAGAAATTATCCAAGCCCTCAAAGAAAATAATTTGCAACCAAGACTGATGTACCCAGAAAACTGTCTCTCAAAATTAATGGAGAAATAAGATGTTTCCAAGACAAGGAGGAGCTGTGGGAGTTCATGGCCACCAACCCAACCCTACAGAGAGTGCTGAAGGATATTCCAGAGAGAGAAAGAGAGAGAGAAGAGAGAGAGAGAGAGAGAGAGAGAGAGAGAGAGAGAAAGAGAAAGAGAGAGAGAGAGAGGATACTAGTATTCCAGCAACAGTGGCAGAGAGGCCTCAGTGAACAGGGCAGACAGTGGAATGAGGGGGTAAGGTGGACAAATTATAGCAGTAAAGTGGAGTAGCAGACATGAGGCAGAGACAGTAAGCTACAATCTTTAATATAGATAGCCTTGATACACTAAAATTAAAAAAAAAACAGATAGAGTAGATTAGGAGACAGGCTCCATTGAGATGCTCTGAATGGAAAATACACTCAACCCAAAGGAGGGTTAATAAACTGAAAGTCAAAGATGAGAAAGCAAAGCTATATGCAACAGGAAACCAGAGAGAAATAGGGACAACTCATCCAGCAGTTGCAAATAGATTGGAAAGCTATGACACTTTTGGGCAGTGTAGAACTACACAGCTGGAAGGAAGGAAAACCCTATGACTTTAGTGAGTAAAGGAGCAAAGCTCAAGATCAAGCTCAGGGGTAGAAAGGTTCAGCAACACTCAGATAGAACACAGGCTTGCCCCTTAATCTAAAAACTAAAGGGGCTAGTGAGACTCAAAACATACAAAGCATCCTGAGAAGGGGAAAGGTGATAAATAGACTAAAAAGAAAAGGCAGAGATCATTGTTAATAGTGTATCAGGATTTAAAAGTCACAGTAGTCTTATTGCTCTGTGTAGTTTGACTTTATTTTGTTCTGGTCTGTCCAATCATATCAGATTTGAGGGCATAGACATCTAACCCCAAAATAGCAGGTTATACCATGGTAACTATGCTTAATTTCCTATTAACTTAAACTGAAACCCTGTATTACTTACATTGTCTTACTATGACTGATCTTATTTGAATCTGGTTTGTTAGACCACGGTTTTGCCCTGGCTGATTTTATTCAAATTTGGTATGCTTGATAGTATCAAGTCTAAAAGTAGAGGCAACTACTCTGCAGATGACAAGATGTAAAAGATATCCATACTGGTTTTACTTATTAACCACTCTCAAGTCCTACAATGTTTTCAAAGTTGTGTTTTTATAAAAATAGCTATGTAATACTACGCTTAACTATATTAAGCCTGATGATGTGGACATGTCTATTGGAAATAACAAGAAAAAAGCATAGTAACTCTAGTAGATCACCTAATATTGTGTTCTTATGTGTCTTTTTCATTGCATGTTTTTCTAGGAATTTGTTTTGCTGTCTTGTTATGATTTGTTTTTCCCTATAATACAGAGAGGATACATATACATGTAGAAATTCACACATGGGAAGAATTTTTTAAACTATTTATAGGAACAGATTATACAATGCAAGATGTAATGAACAGATACTCTGAAGAAGAGACACTAAGAAACCCAATGCTAATTCTGTAGCATTATGATATAAAATCTAGCCGGGAGAACATGGCGGACAGATAACAGCAACTACCGGAGGCTCTCTGAAAGACTCGGCTCAGAAGCCAGAAATGGTGCAGACTAAGGAGACATAAGCAGGTGGAGATATGCTCTGCTGACTCAGGAACGAACTGGGCTGAGAGAAACCAACTTGGAATGCAGTCCTGGTGCTAAAACATGAACAGAAAAGCCTCGGTGTGGATGCTGGACCCCGCACCATTGTAAGCCGCCATTTGGGTTTCCCGCTGCGCAGCGGCTGGCTGCCTCTACAGTGGCTCGGCAAGGAGAGAGACGCGCAGAAGCTCTGAGAACGGCAATCTGCGAACGGCAGGGAGGCGTGCACTGACTTGTGGTGAGGTGAGTGAGAGAAACTGACACTCTACCACAGTTTGACTCCAGCAGAGGACTTTCTGGGCCCAAGCAGTCCTGTGGGAGCAGGGCGCGGTGGCGACTCCAGCCACACATCCCCCTCTCGGGCGGGATTGGTGAAAAGTGCCTGGCCTGCGTGACACTGCTGGCGGACTCCTTAGGCTAGCCCAACCCAGATCCCAGAGCCTGACGGTGGCCGGGAGGGGAGACGCGTAGGCTGCCTGGTCCGTAACTCCCTGGTGCGCAGTGGTGAGCGGGAACACCTAACTGGCGCAATTCGATCAGGCTGTGGCTGACTGGGAGAGAAGCTGGGCCTCTTATATAAGCTTGCATATATAAGGAACAGAGAAGAAGAGGCAGCATGGGAAGAGGCAGCAACAAGAAAGGTTCCTCGGCCCCCAATTCTGAGAAACAGGCAATAGCAGACACCGCACCAATACACAGAAGGCACCATATAGAGAGCCTCATAGACCAATTCAGGAATGAAGTTATCAACGACCTGAAGCTAGAAGTATGCAGAATAGTTAGAGAAATGCTAAGTACCACCCAAGAAAAAACAGGTGGTGGAATGGAAGAACAGAAAAAAAGGGGAGAATTGTTTGATGGAGAAAACAGAGAAAGCATAGAATATGTGAAGCAGGTTCAAAGGGACTACCAAGATATTAAGAAGTCTATAGAAGAGTGGCATAACAGCTTGAAAGAAACTAAGGACAGACTATCTGAACTGGAGGGCAGACTTGTAATATGGGAGAATGAAATGAAAAACTTCTTAAAAATAACAAAGAAACAAACAGCAATAATACAAAGACAAGAAGATGATAAGAGGATCCATAACTTAAGGATTAAGAACATAAAAGAAGAAGT